TTGAAATATTTTTTTTGGATTTATAACAATTTTTCTGTTTTTTTTTGAAAGGAATAACCTATTGAAAAAAGGAGATGTTTTCACAGTTTATTACTAGGCGTGTCCCTTAAGAGAGACATGAAATTTTTAGTATTGGCTAATAACCTTTACTATTGTATTAAAAAATCAGAAAATTAGTTATTGAAAATTGGATGAAATAAGTCATAATAAAGTGTAACAAAAGAAGATATTTAATAATTTTTTAAGATTTTTTTTTTGTACACAAAAGTTTTAAAAATTACAAATATACTATAAAGCCTTATGATATTTACTTTTACACTTTTAATTGTTACAGGAAAGTGTGTCACCATTAACCGATCCGCCCTAATCTTGGCATACATCACTGAAATTTTGATAGTATTTCTATTTTCGGCATTTGGTTCTTGCCATTTATTTGATGTATGTATGTATATTATTTTWGCATTTTTACTACGTGCCCACAATCATGGCAACACCGACACCACAAATAAAAATACACAAACGTTTTGTGGGCTTTTGGCAATATGCTGTTTTATTTGCATACATGTGGGGGTGTGTGTGTGCTTATTTTTCCAATTGCCACCAGAGCCTGTTAAGAATTTCCACAGCTTTCCCAATTGCTTAAATAATGGCACAGTGTTGCTTGCCGATACGCTTGTTGTTCTACACATTTTTGAGTTATTGTTTTAGTGTTGTTGTTCGCGTATTGTTTGCTTGTTGATCGCAGGCTATTTTTGCGATGAGTTCGTAAATGCAATATCAAAGCTTGGAAGTGTACATGAGACGCTGAGGTATAAATAAAATCGCTTTGCGCTATTTTACGCATTAATTTGAGATGCCGAATGCTATGGCTTTTTAATTATACAGGGTCATTAACAGCGCAGCAGGTGCGATTTGCGGCCTTTTTTGATTCTATTTTGATTTTTGTTTTTTATATTATTTTTTATTTACTATTTTTTGTTTCTGTTTATGAAAAGAGGTCGTGCAAGGAAATAATTACCATTGTTGATTGATTTTTTTTATAGACGGGTAACGCTGGATAAGTGCTTAAGCAAGCAAAAAATGTTATAAAAAATCGCAAATTTAATTGCTTTCCTGACAACACGCTTGAGTAACGGGTCTTAACGTTGAGTGATTTGTATTGCTGTTTGAATGACGCGTCCATTCTCAATGCCGCTACTTATTTTACCGACTGCTTCTTTTTCTCACTGCTCGCTTTTCTAGACGGGCTTTGTGTGAAAGACACGTGCGTGGGAATGCGGAAAAATTCCAATAGCCACCTTGACAGACGGTAATATTACGATTTTTGCGCGATTTTAATGCTAGCTTTTTTTTGTGAGAAGTGCTATAATTTAACGCTGGATTTTGTTTCATGTAACCCTCATAAAAAAGTCCACTTATGAGCTCATAAATTTACAGTTAAATTGATTGCGCTGAATATGTCGACAAATTGTTGCATGTAGTTAAGATGTATATAAATGTGTGGAGATATCTATGGCTATGCCATAAACTCATTTTAATTACAGCAGCTGACACTGTGCTCATTGCTTCGGTCAATTACCTAGACGCTCTAGACGCTCATGGTCCAACAATAAGGGGGGCACTGACTTTGCAGGCGCATTGGCGGCACTCATTGTTGCAGTGTTGAAGAGTTGAGTATGACAAATAGTATGATGGTTAACGAAAAGTTTAGTGACATATACAAAACACTATATAAAAATAGATATCTAAGCAAATACATACAAATATATTTTTTCGTATACATACATATGTATATATAAAAATAAAGTACATACATATATGAAAATAACACAGCAATTTGAAAAATATTATTAATAAATATTACTGTGTTCTTGACATAAAAAATTGGCACACCAATACAAGCAAGAAAATGCTTCTAGACTTTTGCTTTCATAAAAAGAAAATATGAGCCTTCTCATGCCACTTCTAGTGTGTATTTATGTGCGTAGGCGCCTTAATCAAATTTTCCCCAATTTATTAAATAAAAAACGCACATCATTCAAATACAAATTTCGTTTTTCGTATGATGTCATTGGCAAATGCCAAGCGCAATACGCGCACAAGGCAGCGTTGCCAGCCACTGCCACTTCAGTTGGCACATGCTCGCTCATCAAATCAAAACCAAATCTGCGACTCATACACACACGCATTCACATACTTGCGACCAGTCACATTTCTTTACAAATTTCAATATTTTCTAAGCTTTTTCCTAATAATTTTTGGCCGTTGAATTTATGTTGAGATTATTTTTAGCAAAAATGTCCTCAAGATGAGGTAGCCAGCCAGCAGCAGCGCAAAATTAAGCAGCTGACAATAACCACAATACACTAACACAAACACATACAATTGCAGGCGTATAAAATATTCAGCAGCGTTTTGAACACGCAGAATTTTTAATGTCTTATTAAGAATGTTTTTGTCAAGAGACGTTTGCATTTTCCTGCTATTTTTCTCGTATTTTTTACTTCCTGTAACTTTTTCCATGCCGT